GAAAGAAAGAAAGAAAGAAAGAAAGAAAGAAAGAAAGAAAGAAAGAAAGAAAGAAAGAAAGAAAGAAAGAAAGAAAGAAAGAAAGGAAGGAAGGAAAGAAAGAAAGGAAGGCTAGTCAAGCACATCAGTCAAAAAAAACATTCCAACTTCAGCCTATGACTCCAGGGATTGGGGCGGTGGCCTCTCTGAGCTCACAGGCTAAACAATCTCTGGTGATTTCTTCCCACGTCGTGGAATCATGAAGTGTCAAAGTCTTCCCTCTTCCAGTTTTCTTTAGATCTTTCTGATCTCCTCAAGGAAAAAGTCTTGGCTTGGTGCCAGCCCATCGTTCCCATCCGTGTGGACTTGCCAACTTTCTCCTTTGACCAGGGAGAGCAGGTTTCAGGGTGGGAGCCTGCAGCAGGCAACAGTCTTGATGGAATTCAGTCGCTGAATTAGTTTTGTTGTGTGCATGTTTATTTTCTATCTGTGGCGAGTTATTCTGATTTCTATGTATGATTGTAGTATTAGTTTTTCATTTAAACAAATTTCCCTTTGTTCAAAACATGAATTGATACAAAGATAGATCTTGAGTACAAAATAGTACAAAAGAGACGAGGATTCAGCTATAATCATGAAAGTGGTTCGGGGATAAATAAAATTTAAGAAATGGAGCACTAGTGGAGAGCTGGTTTCTTAAAGACGAAGGGTACCTTGGCTTTGCACTGTTGTAGAACCTGACCACAGATGTGGGAACTTAGCAGGGCAGGAAATGTTCTCCTGGCTGGGCCTGAACTGAACACTAGGAAATGTGGAGGAAGCAGGCCACGCGACCCTAAGCTTTTCTTGGACAGGGTCCCTGTCTCTCCTGTTCACTCTGGCTTCTGCATCCCTGGCATACTGCCTGGCACATAGTGGATACTCATCAAAGACTTGTTGAATAAACAAATGTAGGGAAGAATTACTATCTATGAAACTCCAGAGCCAGTTCTTCCATGTAGTGCATGAGTGCCAAAGTGCTGTCTTGAATAGATGGGTCTTTGGGGTCACCCAGGGAAACTCCATCATTGTGCAAATGAGAAGCAGAAGCCCAAGAGGAAGAAGATATTTGCCTAGGCCACACAGTCAGTGTCTGGGAGAAGCAGGGACTAGGACTTCCCACCTGTGATTAGCCTTGCCAGCGCATCAGCCTGTCACTTCTGGTGTGTGCCCACGTTCATGACCTCACCTGGACAGTCAGTGCTATGGGCCGAGTGGGACAGGTTCCTGGCACCCTGCTTGTGCAGGTAGAGGCAGGACAGCCCCCTGCTCAGAGGCTGGACAGAGCCTCTCTGCATCAGGCAGAAGAGTAGGCTGGATCACATTACAGAACCTGGAATTCTGACATTGGGGACTTCGGGGACACAGTGCTCTTCCAGACCAAGAGGCTCCAGAGGATGGGTGTGAAGCAGAGATCATGGAAAACAGATTCATAACACCTATTGTCCCTTCAGTGAGAGCTGCCTTCTCAGGCAGGCCAGCCTTGACCCCGGCCAGCACCACCTCTTGTCAGGCTTACCTGCTCCACTTCATGTTCTTACTTCTTTTTTACACTTGTTTATTATCTGCTGTCTTTACCAGCCTGAGGCCTGCACAGGGAAATGATCTGCTTCTATTGTTTTCACTGATGCACCTGAGGACAGCTCCGGACACAGAGTGGACATTAAGTAAAGAGTTGTCGAGTAGATCAACGGATAGATGGAGGGGACTAATGAAAACTGAAAATGTTCAGGCGCCTTGTATTTGGTGGTCTGTCTGTAGCTGTCTAGCTGTGGGCTTTTAGGCAAGTTGTATGATCTTCTCCAGCCTCAGTTTCCCCATCAATAGAATGGGATGGTCACACTAACATGGAGGGCTGTGGGTCAGTGGGGTGGTGATAGCCCTTGTGCTGTGCTAGGATCTGATAGGCCCCTGGGAAGCGTTGGTTACATTAAAGTCAAAATCCATTCATTCATTCACTCATGCATGCATTCGTTCATGAGGGTGGTTAGTCCACAAACGTGAAAAGAAGTGGGAGTTGACCTTTCCTGGAAGGCTGAATAACAACTGAAAGGAAGTGGTGGGAGTGGGACAGGACGGGAAGCCGAGAGAGCTTCCGGACAAGGTGGGACACCATGAGCAGAGTAGGGAGGTGGCTGGCTATGTTGGGACAAGGGTAACAGTGACAGTAGTCTTTCTTTCCAGCAAACACAGGCTAAGCACATGCTCTCTGTCTTGCACTAGCCTGGGCACAAGGGCACAAGGACACAAGGACATTTAGACAGCAGCCAGAAGGACACTTAAAACACACAAGTTTGCCTAAATTACTCTCCGGCTAAACACCTGTGACCTGTCGCCACAGTTCTGCAGTTAAACACCAGCATGCTCACCGTGGCCCACAAAGCCCCACCTACCTCTCCAGCCTCAGTGCTCCCCTCTTACTGCCCGGTTTTGTTGTTCTGGCAGCATCAATCTCATCCCAGTCACTCTCCCTGGCTACCTTTCCACCTCAAAACCTGTGCATGCATCATTCCTTCTGCTTGGTGGAGGCTCCCTCTGTTCCCACCCTTTTTCCTCTTTTTTTTTTTTTTTTTTATAAATCTTTCTAAAATAGACTTTACTTCTGTAGTGAAGAATACAAATATGGCTGTTAAAGTAGGAAATCATATTGACAAATATTTAAGATGTGCAATAACTATTTTTAAAAACAGAGTTAGTTGAAAGGAAAATGAATAAAGCACTAGAGCTTATGCCTAATTATAATTGGCACACTTGGAGACACCAACCAGTATTTTATATGTTATTAACTGCACTAGAAGAAACACACATATATGCAGTTTTAATCAATAGCAGCAGTTTAAAAACAGATGAGTTTCCGGCTTTGGGAGCTCTCCCCAGGAAAGCCTGCCCTGGGCCCCCCCCGGACTGGATCAGACCCTCCTGTGACATACTCTTCCAGCACCCCAGCTCTCCTTCCCACACCTGCAGCTCCAGATAAAAGTATGTCTACTTGCTGTTCCCACCAGATATTGAGTCCATTAGGCAGGAGCCAGTCTATTCATATTAACAACTAGGCCAGAGATGGCAGCCTGTAAGTCACTGCCCAGCACAGGATTGACTGCAGCCCACATAGGGGTGGAGGGAACATCCAGGTCGACCAGCCATCACATATAGAGAAGCTTTCTTAGAGGGCTACTTAGAATATAATGGAAAGGGGGAGAAAAGTTCATGAAGAAATCAGAATGGCCTGAGTATTAAAGGAAGAGTAGGAGTTTGTTAGGCAGGAAGAGGGAATTCCCATTAGAAGGGAGGGCAGAGGCAAATGCTTAGATGGCAGATATCTGGAAAACATGTGGTGCTCTCAGAGGCTCCAGCGAGGGCTGTAGGAGCCTGCCCACGGCAGCTCAGTACTGCATGCCAGGCACAGTTTCCACAGCCGCACATGCTTGGGATCTCCAATCTTAGCACTTAGCACTGTCCACTAGCCTGTGGTCTGTGCAGGGATGGAGGAGGGGGGTCTACTGCCTGGCACTTGGAGAGGGGCTGGGCTGTGCATCTCCCTGCCTGGGTCTGAGCAGGACCCCTCCCTTTTCCCCCCAAAATAGAAGCCAGGTGCTCTTGGTGCCTGTGGCTAACCCTGAGGCCTTAAGGAAGTCACTTCACTTCTCTGAGGCTCAGTTTCTAGTCTGTCATACAGCTGTCCCTTCTGGTTGCCCTCAGGGCAGCTGTAACCAGAACACAAAGGGCACCAGAGTGACAAATTGCTAGACACTCCAGAGAATGACAAGTCCCCTCTCAGGCTTCTCAGTGCCAAGCCAGTCAGAATCCCCTCCTCCCAAAACACCAGAGGCACTGGGAATTCACTGTAGGAGGAGAGGAACCTGCCTGAAATGAGACGGCTCAGTACACGCGCCTAAGCAGCCCAGCGTGCACCTGGTGCCCCCTGGCGGTCACAGACAGACTCTACAGGGTTGTGTTTTCTGGGGCAGGTGCAGAGGCCCCATACACTATTCAGCTGACCTTGCTAACAGGTTCACACAAAAGGCCTGCTTTTGACCCCGAGACGGGGGGTTGGGGTGGGGGGGGCAGGATCTTCTTTTTAGGCCTCACCTCTGCTTCTACACTTCCTGGATACCTGACTGAGGCCAGAGCTCCTGCCTGGACACTCTGTGGAAGATAACAGTATAGATCACATGCCAACTCCCCAAGGCCACCAGCTCCTAAAGAGAGATTAACCTTCCTAAAGCACTGTGTGAGCTTCCTCAGAGCTTCACAGGGTAGTAGCATGAGTCTCACATGAGGATCCGAGAGGGTATGCTGCTTTCTCAAAGATTTCTCATTTTAGGATTTGAACCCAGGTCTCTCTCCCTCCAAACCCCAGGTACTTGCTCATACCTTCCCCAAATTATCCGCCAACACCCAGCAGACCTGGGGCTGGGGAGAAAAGTGTCTGTTTACTAAATCACACAAACCCCTGTCTGCTGGAGGGGAGAAAACACCATCCACAGTGTGGAGGGCACCCGATCTCGGCATTGGAATGAGCAGAGAGGGGGTAAGAGAGGAAATGGGGCAGAGGAGCCCTGATAGCCATGGAGCTCTCATAAGGGCAGTCATGGGAGATGGTGATGCAGGATTAAATTACACTGTGTATGGGGCCTCCAACCCAGGGAGATGAAACATTTTCAGCCCAAAGCCATAATTGGCACCTGCAGCAAGCAAGCAAGAATTCCCCTTTATTTCTCAATAGGATTAACAATCTTTCCCAAGAAAAGTATGGAAGGTGTCAACAGGTCACCAATCATTAATATATAGGGTCTGTTTATCTTGACAGGCATTGGTGTCTCCATGGGCAGCGTCTGTGCTCCGGAGCCTGCAGCCCCTTCCGTACCCTTCTCATCCATCTTCAGCTCAGCCTTATGCACTGCCTGTGGGAACCAAGGGCAAGGTCAGTTCTTGATGCTCAGAGACATGATGGGCCAAAGGCCCCGAGAGGCCCAGAGAAGGAGACAACTTGGCCAAAACCACCCAATACAGCAGTAACTTGATCAGTACCAGCCACCCCAGGGCTCTTGGCTCTTCTGCTGTCATCACTAGAGGATTTTCGACAGGCAGATACAGCGAGAAGGAAAAGATGGGGGACGAGAAATAGAGTAGGGGGTGTTATCCTTCTCAGGGATTGCAGGGAGTCATTTGCCATAACCATGGCAGAAAGGGTATGTTGAGCCATGACTGGGTGACAGGGTGCTGAGTGCATCCCTGCCTGAATCCTCCTGCACCTCCTTTCATGCGTCTGGTGTGTGTTTAAGAGGAAGCCAGATTCTAGGTTAACCATGACTCAGACCCCAGACCCACCCCACTGGTGTCTGCATCTGTGACAAGGTGATGGATACTGGGAATGTGACGGGCCTCTATAGGATACTGACCCATTTCATTCTAGGGTATACAGGGTGTCCCAAAAGTTGCCATAAGTAGGGAAAATTAGCAAACTCATATTATATTTTACATATTTTATATTTATATACTGACACATGGAGAATATAGCTATAATTTACCATTTTCCCTGTACATGTGTTTATGTGTGTGTTTGTGTGTGTGTGTGTGTGTCTATATATGGAGATCTTCAGGACACTCTGGGAAAATCTAACAATTTTACTTGCAAAAAACAGGCCAATATCTTGTGTTAGAATCACAGCTCTCAGCACACCTAACTACTGGAAAGAATGGAGCTATTGAACTCACTCAAGATCCACAGAAAGTGTGGGGGGGGGGGCGGAGCTTGTGGCAGAAAAACTCAAAAGTGAGAAAATTCTATTGACTGCATTTTTCCCTCTTCCAAATTGGAAAACACAGCTAAATCCATGTCTTCCCTTGTAAGCAGCTGGCTTAGCTTGGCAACAGATCCCTCCCAGACTGGCTCGAATCTCCCCCACGGACCCCCTCTTGCTCACCAATCCCTGCCGCCCAGAACTCAGCTTTCCTACCTCCCAGCCTCAGCTATGCTGGTCCCCTGACTAGAAGATCCTCCCTGTGCCCATTTCTGCTGGTTAAAATCCTTGATGCCCCTTTAACCCAAAAGTAAGGTTGCCAGGTAAAATACCCAGATGTTCTATTAGATTTGAATTCAAGGTAAACAATGAATATGTTTTAGTGCATGTCCCGTGTAAGATCTGGGAACACTAAACAATTATTTGTTGTTTATCTAAAATTCAAACTTAACTGGGTAGTTCATATTGCATCTGCTAAATCTGATGACCCTGACTAAATGCCTTCTCTTCTTGTCCCAAAAGGCAGGTGCTCAGCCTTGCTAGAGACCCTGAGCCCTTCACTCTCTTTGTCACGTAGAACATGTCCAACACTTACTCCTAAGATGTCTATGAGGCCTTGGAGAGAGGGTCTGGGCCAGACTTGGACCAGTTCTAGGCCTGGTAAAAGCTCCAATCCTGGTTCGATGTTTGCAGAATTGAATCGATTTCCAAACAAGCAAGAATTTTAAAGATGGGAAATGTGAGGCTTGGGGAGGTTATATGGTTTGCCTAGGATCACACATCTGGTCAAGGGCAGAGCTAGATTCAAGGCTGCCCTCCTAGCAGTTGGAATCCTTCCTTATACAGCCACTGTGATGGTGGCTCTGGCCGAGGCTGAAGGGGGCAGCATCCAGGCAGGCCCGGCTTACCTCGCCTACTTTCAGGCTGAGGTGAGGGGAGATCCTGGTGAGATCGCCGTGCTCCTCAAAGATTTTGTTGACACCCACGAGGGAGAGCATCTTCTTCAGGTCATAAGTGCCAGTGATGTGAAGTCTGGGCACAGACACATCGACAACCCTGGGGAGTTGAAAGTGACAAACACGATGGTCCAGCCCTACATTTTCCAGTTTAGACGATAAATGAGACATTTGTCTTCCCAACCCCACAGGTCTCTGTCTCAGATCATCTCTCTTTATTCACAGAATGAGGAGGGGCTCCTCAAACCTGGGTTTTCAAAATACCTTGTGCTTCCTAAAATAAGAGCCTGCGTCCACCAGCCTTCCCCAGAGCCCTCATCCACAGGAAATGTCCTCAAGTCCCTGCCATAAGTCTCTGCCACACCTAAGTCCTGAGCCAGTCCTAACTCTGGTGGACCTGAAGCTGGAGGCAGCAGAGCCTCCGAGACTGGCAGCCAGGCAGAACGGAGTTCAAATACACTCTGCTTCTCATCAGCTCCATGTCTTGAGGGAAATGACCTTATCTCTCTAAGTCACTTGTGTAAAAAGGAGGATGGTAAGCGTAACACGCACAGGACACCAGGAGCACTGAGATAAACGCATCTAAGGGGCTCAGCAGACAGTAGTGGTGGCAGGTGTCTGTCTTCTTGCCTTTGATGTGGCAGCATCACATCCTCTGTGGCTAGGCCTGTGTCGGCCTCCCTCCCCAGAACCTGGGGCCAGGTGTCCCTGAGGTGCCTGCAGGCTCTGGTCCCCATTCCCTCTCACCCATGAAGGACCTCATTCCTGACTGTTTCCTGTCTGGCCTGAATCATCCATAAGCATAATCACTCCTGCTCCTTGACCAATGCAGGAGCAGAGTGCACGCTAGGATTACCCCCATCTTAAAAATCAAAAGCAAAAACATCTCCCTGGGCCCTGAGGCACCTCTCCAGCTTCCATCTCTTTTCTCCCTCTGATAGCTGAGATGGTCCCCACCATTATTGCCTTAAGCCACTCCAGTCTGGCCTGTGACCTCCACATTTCATGAAAGCAGCTTTTCCTAGAGTCACCATGGACACCCAGCAGTGAACAGCCCCTGCCTGTGGATCCCTTTCTCCAGCATGAAGCTTCCAGCCCAAGTCTTCCCCCTCAAGTTTCCTCTCCCTCCCAACCACTCCTCTCACCTGAGGCTGGCTGCCCTTACTGTGGGCTCAGGGGCTGTGCTGCGGTGGGCCCCCTCTCTGTTCTACCTTCACTCCCTCCACAGGGGTCTCATTCAGGGTCATGGCTTTAAATACCATTGACAAGCCAAATGTATGTTTCCACTCATTCATTCACTCAATTATTAAGTGCCTACTGGATACCAGGTGGTAGTCTAGTTGCTTGAGATGCATCCGTGAATAGGACAGGCAAAGATCCCTACCCCCGACCTTGTGTTCTAGCAAGGAAAATGGACAATAAAATCAGTACAATGAGCAATATCAGCTAAGTCTGTCTCTCACACACATGTGCTGTTGGTACATAAGAGGCCAGTGAGTGCTGAGAAAAAGATATAGGTCAGGAGTGCTGAAGCAAAGCATAAGATTTAACATTGAAGGAGGCAAAGGAGTTAGGCAAACTGGCCTGTTTTTCTGGAATAATATAGGGGGTCACTGTAGGATTTGAAACAGAGGAATGCTGCGATCTTGCTTAAGACCTCAAAGGATCAGCTCTCTAGGGAATCCACTCCTGGTCTCTCTTGCCTTTTCTCCTTCATGAGAGGGACCCATGTCCAACCCTTTTTGGAAGTGCTCTAAACTTTCTCTTTGTTTTTCCTAAATAAAACCACTTTGTTACCCTGAAAAAAAAATAAAATAGAATCCACTCTTGGTCCTGCTGCTGGTGTGTGTTTGTGGCGGGCAAGAAGTGATGGTGGGAGACCCACTTTGGAAGCTAGTGTGGTCGTGAGATGTCGGGAGCCACAGAGATAGTTTCTGGAGAGTGGATTCCAGAGATGGTTTTAATGTAGACTGGGGTTTCCTGGATGGCTACCAGGTTGTCAGCAACTATGAGGACAGAGTGGCCACTGAAAAGGTGGGCGAGCTCTGGGAGGTTCTGTAGAGGCCAATCATGATGCTATTCTGGACATATTGACACTGAGATCCCATCAGACACCCAGGGTAGACCCTGGGCATGCAGAAGGATCCCTGGAGTTTGGAGGGGAGAAGTGGAGCAGGGAGTGGAAATGTGAGTCGTGGTAACAGATATGGTGTATAAACCTCGGAGGCTGGTGTGCTCACCAGGGGTGAAAGCAGAAAGGTAAGGGGCATAAGGCCTGAGCTGCAAGGCTCTTGGCTCTGAGACCAGGAGGATGAGAGGAGTCTCCAGCAAAGAGTGCTGAGAAAGAGAAAGGCAGGAGGCCCCCAGGGAGTGCAGGCCTGGAAGCCTAGTAAGGAGGTTGGAGAGCAACAGGTCAGACAGAGGCCCGAGGCTGACCTCTGGGTTCTACAGCACGGACTCCCTGGTACTCTGGTAATGGAGACTCCTGTGAGAGGTGCACTCAGAGCCTGCCAGGAGTGGGTTTAGGAGAGTATGAGAGGAACAAGGACCATGAATGGAGGCAAATGCCTCAAGGCCTTTCCCTGCAAGGGAACAGACAACACCGAGCAATCACTGAGGGGTGTGCAGGTCAAGAGAAGGCTTTAAGTTCGTAGAAAGTATACCATTGAGATTTTCTGTAGGTCAGCACAAGCCTCAGGCCTCCCCATACAGAGGCAGATCCCTGCTTTGTCTGTCTTGCATGGAAGCCACTTCTGTGCACTGTAAGTTATCTCTGAGCTCCTGTGAGGTTTTATGATGGGAAAAAAATAGGACCTCTGTATCTGAAGGGAACGATTCAGTAGAGCACAAAAACATTTGCTGATGTAGAGAGCGGATGCAGTGCACAACTGGGGAGATTGGCTTTGGTTTGTGCCAAAGTGGGAAGGCAGAAAATGCAGTCTGCTGCTGGCAGGTGGATGCATCTCCCAGTGCACATGGAAAAGCCACCAACAGTTTGGTGCCCCCTAAAGGTAGACCCTGGGAAAATCAGAACAGCTGCAGGCCTTTAGTTATGTAAATACAAAGTAGCTGTCAGCCTCCTGCAGAGGCCAGTCATCCGCAGCCTAAATTCTAACATGTTCTACACACATGTAAGTTGGGGAGTGTCCTTTAGGGGTATGTAGACTTTATTACTTCTCCTTGGGAAAGGATTTTTCTCGTTAGTGTTTCCTGGGTCTTACAGTGTGGAGGGGACCTCACAAAGAGCACACCGGAATAGCCTGTCCTCTCCCCGTCCACTGAAGTGGTTTGGCTAGGCTCCCTGCCTATAAATCAAAGCAACTTGACCCCTTGTCTTTCAGATCCAATGCACTTTGAAGGTAGGAATGTTGACCTACCCATGTCCTGACGAAACGTAATTCCCTGGAAACTGTGACCGAGTCCACTGCCCTGCAGGTAGATATGGAGTTTCCCATGGGGAGGTGGACATGACTACCATCTGTAATTTTAGGGCCAAGAGTCAATGGGGAGGAAGGACATGTCTGGAGTGAGAGAAACCCTCCCCTTCATGGCCTCAAGGCATGGAGATGCTGGGAGCAATCCTGGTGGGATGGGGGAGGTAGACCAGGCACTAGACTAGAAGTGAGGGGCTCCCTGCTAGAAGCCCTGAGAGTAGCCTGCACTTGGATGTCAGGAGAGGTCACTGCTATGCACTGTAAGTTATCCCTGGACACTTTTAGGAGCACTGATTCTGTTATCCCTAAACCTCCAGTAAGGGTGGTGCTGGTCTACAAGACCTCTTGATGTATCTCTTCCAGGCTTGGGTAAAGGAGGAAAGAGAGGAGTGTGTGTCCCACCCTAAAGCTGGAGACATGATGTCCATGCCCAAGGAACAACTCTGTGCTGTTAGTGGTGGCCTGATGGTGGTCACAGTACCAGGGATGCAGAGAGCCTTGGTGAGGGGACAGGGAATTCCTAGTATTAGCACCAAAGCTGCAACCCCATGGGAAGTTGTCAGAAATAATTGGAGATAGAATGGGGTGCACTCAGGGTGCACGCAGGGTCCTGAGTTCCAGAAAACCAACTATAAGGTCTCAAGTCACTGTCATCTGAGTACTAAAGGAAATATGATCTATGGAGCCCAGGTCTCATAAAGCCAGGACTTCTAGACAAAGTGGTGTGGAGGGTCTGCTGTCCTTCTTATCTTCTACTGTCCCTTCACCTTGTGCACTACCAATTCCCTAAGGAATTCCCTCAAGACACCTCTGTGAACTCTAGGACTCTGTAGAGTGCAGGTGGAAAACTTTTTGCCCTTCCCAGGTATCTACCCATTAAGTGATGCCACACCTTTGCTTTCAATGGCTTAGCTGCCATCCTGGGGTTCCATCCTGAGGGTAAGAAGGTTATATTTTGAGGACACCTGTCATTCAGTAAATGAGAGGTTCAAAATGCCCACTGAGAACTTTGGGACTCTGCCTCTTCAGCTGATCAGAGGAGGAGATAGGAACTCACATTTGCGGTATAAGGCTGTGCTCAGCCACATTTAATTCTCTTCAGACTCCTCTGAAGTTGCCAATATTATAGTCACACATCACAGAGGAGAAAGCCAGGTCTCAGCTAAGGTTGAGACCCAGAGCTCTCCTTCCATGTTAGTGGCCATGCTTTGCCAATTTTTGCCACCCCAGTTCTAAGTGGGAAGGTGAGTTGAGGCTGTGCAGCTCCCAAGGGACAACAGCTCTCCTAAGAGGTCTTCTCCATTCTCCCTCCTGGAACTCTGAAGCAGTTTATCTGAAGCATTAAGAACCAGTATCTCCCTTTCATGAGGTTTCAGGTTAATTCTATACAAAAGAGTTGCAATTCTTCCAAGGATGTGTTCCCATGGGAAAGTAATACTGTCAGTTCAGTTGCCACCTAATGGTAGCCCAATTCAGCCCTAGCATTGTCTCTGCCTCTCTTGGAACCCTCCATGGTGCCCAACAGCACCTTAGGCATGAAAGAGGTTCTCAGTGAAGACTTTTATGGTGCTGGATGGAGGATGACGGCAGGGACAAGGTGAAAAGGAGGACAGAAAAGCAGGGCGGAAGACATCTGACACTACTCCTATCCCCTCTCTGCTTCATCCCCCACCACTCCTGGCTGTCAGAGATCCTTCTCTTGCCTAGCCACTTTCAAGGCACCATGCTCATTCACAATGACACCAAGTCCCTAGGACTTAATCTCAATACCAACCCTTACTTTTCCCAAGAAAATCTATCAGTAAGAAAGTGCCTAAGAGGGATTATGTAGGCTTACTATAACTATGTTCTAAGTTTATGTCTTAAAAGGAAAATATTTACTCTTCTTGGTCCTTAAGTTACATGGACATACTTCACTGGTTTTATTGTGACTCCACAGTTGAAAATGTCATTCTATTTGCAATGAACTTACCACTTCTTCTTATAATCTGCATTTGTCCTTGCAGACTCCTTTACTCAGGATTCCATCACTCTTCTCCCTTCCAAACAGATGGCTACCCAGCCTTAAAAAATTAGCTCCAATGCCAACTCCTCTTGAAGCCCTCCTTGACCACCACCCTCCACCAAGACTCCACCTGCTGCACTCCTGTAGTTTTAATGCATCTCTTTCAAAGAGCAAGTGGTTCACTGTATTCCTCTGACTTGTTTCTCACTCTGCTTCCCACTATAATACAAGCGCATTATAGAGCCCAGCAGAGGACTTGGCCATGAGGCAAGAGTTCAAGAAATCTGAGATGGAAGAAATAGAGTAGGAGAAGAGGCAGGAATAAGGAAGATAGTGCATGAGCCAAGGACACTCCTTACCTCTCTGACATTGATGTTTTGAATCTGGACAGGATATCTGCCTGCAAGGCCTCTTCCAGTTGCTCCATCTTGCCTTCATCAGGAAGAATGAAGGTGGCTGTGATGTTTTTCAGGTAGGGTATTTCCAGGATGGTACAGGAGAGCTGCTCATCACGGCCAACTTTGTACATGCCTCCACGGAACATCATGGGCACCTTCACTGACTTCTGGCTCTCCAGAGTGAAATCTTCCTCTTTAGTTAATTTTGGATCAAACTCATATTGCCACTTGGCTTAGGATTAAAGAATGACAAAGCAACATAAGTTTCCTGTGGGAAAAGAGATGACTGCATCCTACTAACTATTGGTCTCTATCCACATAGATTCAGGGTAAAGGGTCTGAATATTCTGGGATGTAAGGTATGGACTCCATGAATCCCTGTCCTCATGCAATGCCCTGAAGACTTCTGATGAGATGGGCTCAAGCCAAATAATCCCGCAAAGTCCTGAGTAGGGAAGCTATACTAAGAGGACAGTGGCAGACTGCCACAAGCCCAGGTGCCCCTGAGCCTGAAAAGGCCTGTAGATTATGTCCTAACAGAGGGAACTGCATTATATTTAATGGAGCATAATTGGGTCTGGTATGAGTAAAAATGCTTGACTCCATCCTAAGTTTGCCTTGAAAGAGCTGCTCTGTGGAGGCTGAGAAAACTAATGTAAAAGACTGCCTTTGGAAGCTTGTTAAAGAGCAGTGAACACAAAAAGCTGGGTGTGTAGCCCCTCTACTTTTTGATCATGATGATGGGTTGACTCCATTGGTCATAAACTCAAACCTGAGTCTTTTTAAACCTGCTACCCTCAGAGACCAAATTATAGGGCCAAGTCCCTAATTTTAAATCATGGCTTCATTGTTTTTAATGGACCACCTTGGACAAATATCTCTATTTTCCCTGACTTCATGGTCCTTTTGCACAGAATGGGGATATTTACAGGTACTTCATAGGGCTACTTTGAGACTTATCAGGATAAAGCAGCAGAAGCACAGCTCAGTAATAGTGTACAGAGAGTGTTGAGTGGATGCTAGTCACCATCAGCATTATTATTATTGTCACTGTTCCTGCTGTGATCTAGAAAACATAGAGACTTTAGGAAATTCAAAATTCTTTCTCCTCTGGTTTGGGAAACCTGAAGTTTCAGAATGCCAATATCATTTTCTTTTTTTCCTTTATACTCATCAATTTCCCAGTGGATTTGGGGAAGCTTAAATTTCCATATTCAGTACCACATTGCTGACAAGCCCAGCAGTGATTTTGCCTGGACTGAGGAGTGTTGGCCTCTGAGTTTTACTTGTTTTGGCCAACACATGTGGGTACATGTATTGTGTGAATGGTGTGTATAGTGACAGGGAATGAAGCTCAAATTTCAGAACATTCTTCCATCTTTTTTTCTAGTCTCTCTTTCTCTCATATTTGGGAAATATATATAAAGTCTGTTAAGGCACCAAGGCATCTATCAAGTGATCATCATCACTATAGTCAACACAGTCACCAACCTGGGTGTCTACCTGGAGTGGTGGGAAGCACACAGCCCTAGGGCCAAGAGAAATGAGTTCTAGTCCTGATTCTCATGAATGGCTTTGTGACTTCAAGTAAGTCAATTAATCTCTCTGATTTTTTTTCTTATCTAAGAAATGGGGACAAAATGTCACTCCAACCTACACAACCAATGTTGTGTTAGAATAATCAGCAATAATGAAAATATTACATATGGGGAATGAATTAGATTTCACAAAGCTCATTTCACATACATTTCCAGTTTGAATCCTAGTAATTGTTGGATGTGTTATGTATCATGGTACTCCTTTTACAGATATCAGAAGTAGAGTTCTGAGAGATCAATCACATATGAATTCAAGGACACAGAACAAACTAGTGGCCAACCCACTTTTTTAATCCAAGTCTAATGGTCATCCTATCCTTTCCGTGCCAACATACCATAAGCCTTACCTCGAAAGAAAATATAATTTGTAAGAAGCATCATAGTGCCAGAGTCTATATTCTTGACCAGGTTGTTAATTCTCCCATGGGTTTTCTGACTGATATAGTCATTGATTTCCTGCCGAGTATTTTCCAAGTTCTGAAAGTTGGTGGGGATGGCATCTGCATAGTACAAGTTCTTGATGTCTTTCAGAAACTTCTGCTGTGGCTGCAGCTTTGGGTCAATGAATAGAGTGTTCCCAAGTCTTACCTTGAGGTTCTTGGTCTCCTGGTTCAGCCTGCGGATAATAAAATGGAAGCCCTCATGAAGGTCTTTCGTTGGCATGTTCCTAAAGTTGAACCCCTGCTTTATCTCAGCCAGGGTGGGATCCTCAGCACCCAGACACAGCATGGCAAAAGCTGTAGAGATACTTAAGGGAGAAAGGAAGATGTTCTTGCCACGATCTCTGGAGGACAGCTTTTTGAGCAATTTGAAGCCAAAATTTACATTCCGCTTTGCAAGCTCCTTGGCTGCTATCCTTCCCCTCCAGTCTGGGGCCTGGTTCAAAGCTCCATGATTCTGTGGTGAGAACTTGGGCTTCAGAAGACCTTTCACAGTGAGAAGGCCAGCCAGGAAAAGGGCCAGGCCCAGCGTGAGGTTCATGTTCCCTGGGGATTGTCCTGTTGAATTGTAGACCTGAGGTTAGCAGATAAAAGAATGAAAGAACTGAAGTGCCCCTCTCTCACCCACAAGGAAGACCACATGAAAGAAGAAATACAGTGACTGGTTTATGAGTGCTTTGATAGCCTTTATGGAACTTAACCTGTACAATCACCCTGGGAACTAGAAATGCTTGTCCCTATATCATAATGAAAGAACTGAATATGGAAACTAGCTCTTGTTTCTACACCCACCTCCCTATCTTATGGTAACAGTGTCTCACTTTTTTTGAGGAACTTCTATCCTCCTCTTCATTAGCCCACAGTGAGAGCATCCCACAGTATAGGCAGGCACATGAACCAGACCATGTCATTCTAACACTCCATCTCATTGCCATACCGACTGGTTAAAAAATGAGGATGTGACCAAAATCAGATCAATCAATCAGTATCTTTCCTGGAGAATGCAAATTCCTCTTGACTGTGGGAATTAATGATGTAGTCATTAATGATCATTATTAATAACAGAATTAATGATGTAGTCGAATGTCACCATGACCTCCATATGTAGAAAGATAGAAGAGAGATAGAGGGAGATTAAGAGACAAAGATGGACAGACACACCCAATGACACTTTTGCAGTCCCTGTATGGGGCTTCACCTTGATTTACCAACCATCTCCATTTTTCTTTAAGAGCCAATAAATTTCCCTTTTAGGGTAGGATGGTTTGAATTTGATTTTTTTCTTCAAATAATCCTGAGTAACTTGCAGAAATCGAACCCTTTGTCTAAGATTGCACAGTCCCTACATGGTGGATACCAACTTCAGGAGGACCTAGGTCTCCAAGAAACCTTCTTCCTTGCACCCTTTTCATGGAGGGAAAAGGGGTGGCATCATACAGAGAAACAACCAACTGTTTGTGGCCCCAACTGCTGGTCCTTTCACCAACTTTCAGCTGTGAGCTTCTGGAGGATAAGAGTTTTATTTACTGTTTTCCCCTTATCTCCAGAACAAATGCTGCAAAGAGCAGACAAAGAATGGTATTCCAAAAAGTTTATTGGTTTCTCTAGTTGGACAAACTACTGTCATGATTTTTATACCAATTTATATGAAGGAAGATGGCTTTGCTTGGTCCTTCATTATGCCACTTACTCTGCTTTGTTCCTGCAATTTACATTTTTACATAACTATAATCCATGGGAAAGAATGGACTTCTCAGTGGTACAGGTTGTTTGTGGTCATCTAAGATTGAGTTCCTAGAACCAGAGACTGACTTGGAGATTCAGGTGCAGGTTGTGTATCAAGGGGGTTGTCCCAGGAGGGGCCCATAGAGAACTGAGGGATGTAGGATGGGAATGGGAAAGAAGGAGCCAGGATATGGCCCCAGGTAATAACTAGCCTTGGCCCAATTCACAGCAGAAGATCCCTCAAAGATGGCTTTTTGGAAAAAATCAGTCATAGGTGGCTGTGTCTGTCTCCAAGATGCAGAGCATAGTATATAACTTCCTGGGTCAGTTAGCACCTCTCAGCCAAAGACAATTTTCTGGAGAGGAGAGTGAATTTGTGAGCTATCAGCAGCCAACCCTCACAGCACCACCAACAAAGAGGAACTGGACCAGGCCCCGTCAGGGTCCACTGTATCTAAATCCCAGTGCGTGACACGCAGTAAGTTCTTTGTGGTTGACTGAATGAACAGATGAAGTCCCTGTGCATAGGAGTGCCTCCAAATTCTGATATCTTTGTGCCCAAATCTTTCTATGCTAGGTTCCTTAGACAGAGCTTTTATCATGGCAGACACGGGTCTTGAAGGAGTTTACGGTATAGTACTGGAAGATGCTAGTGGCTACTATCCATCGCTCCCTACTCTGCCTTCCAGCTTCCCAACAGAACATCTTTCCCTTCTTTTTTTTTAATTGCATAATTTTTATTTCTGCAATAAATAAATAAGCAATAAATCTATCATATTTTCATGTGATTTCTAAGGCTTGTAGTTATCTTTAAAATATAACATTTTTAAAGTTTTTAGATTGGATAACTATGATCACCATAAAATCATACCTACCTAAAGTATATGACCTAACTCCCACCACCACGACAATATCTTCAAATCTATTGACTCTATAAAATGGAATAGAAGGAAAAAAGTCCTTTAAACTTTTGCTTCTAGATTCTGCAACCTTTTCTTTCTAGGGGTGTAATGGTTACAACAGGACAAATAATGATTTTTATTTGACATTCACTATTAAAAATAATTAAAAGAGCTTTTGTGGATGGTCACCTATTGCTTCAACCAGAACATTCTTTATATCAACATTATAATCACTGCATTTAAACTGATTGTTGCTATTCCCTACACTGAATGTGTTAGTTATAAATCTACTGGCTGTTCATTTCACAAAATTAGCCTGGTTAGAGTGAACCTGTGGTTTCTTTTTTCTTTTTATTGTTGGGGATTCATTGAGGGTACAAAGAACGAGGTTACACTATTGCATTTGTTAGGTAAAGTCCCTCTTATAGTTGTGTCACACCCCGTGATCCCCCAATACCTCCCTCCTGCCCTCTTCCCTCTTACCACTTCCCTATTCCTCCACCCCCCCACCACGTACTAAGTCAACAATTGTCCTCACATCAGAATTGAGTACACTAGATTCTTGTTTCTCCATTCTTATTGCTTTACTAAGAAGAATGCTTTCCACCTCCATCCAGGTTAAATACAAAAGATGTAAAGTCTCCATCTTGTTAAATGGCTGAATAGTATTCCATGGTATACATATACCACAGCTTGTTAATCCATTCCTGCATTGGTGGGCATTTAGGTTGCTTCCATACCTTGGCAATTATAAATTGAGCTGCAATAAACAGTTTAGTGACAATGTCTTTATGATAAAATTTTTTTCTTAGTAATAAAAACAAAGCTGGGGGCATCAGCCTACCAGACTTTAGACTGTACTACAAGGCCATAATGATCAAAACAGTATGGTATCAGCACAAAAAATAACCACATGTAAAAGACTGAAACTGGACCCAAACCTTTCTCCACTCACTAAAATTGATTCAAAGATCTAAATCTAAGAGATGAAAAAGTAAAAATCCTCAAAGAAAGTATGGGGAAAACACTTGACGTTATCACCCTGGGGAAAGACTTTATGAAGAAGATTTTGTAAGTCTTCTTGAGTTCTTCGAGGATTCTCCATACTTCCTTCCAAAAAGGAAGATAATTGCAACAACAACAAAATTGTCCATAAGACAATTGCAAAAACAATACAAACAAACAAATGGGACTTAATTAAACTGAATAGCTTCTGTACAGCTAAGGAGACAATAACCACAGCAAACAGGTAATCATCAGAATGGGAAAAGATATTTGCATATTATGAAGTGGACAAAAGCTTGATAACTAGGGTCTACAGAAAACTCAAGTTAATCAATGTAAAAAGAGCCAACAATCCCTTATATCAATGGGCAAGAGACATGAATAGAACCTTCTCTAAAGAAGACAAATGGCTAACAAACATGAAAAAATGCTCATTGTCCCTAATTATTAGAGAAATGCAAATCAAAACCACTCTGGGATAGCACCAGTGAAAATGGCCCACATCACAAAAATCTCATCGCTGCAGATGCTGGCGTGGATGTGGAAAGAAGGGAACACTTTTTCACCACTGGTGGGACTGCAAACTAATACAACCTGTTTGGAAGGAAATATGAAGAATCCTCAGAGAACTCATACCAGACCTCCCATTTGATCCTGCAATCCCATTACTGGGCATCTACCCAGAACAACTTCTCCTTCTCCTTCTCCTTCTCCTTCTCCTTCTCCTTCTCCTTCTCCTTCTCCTTCTCCTTCTCCTTCTCCTTCTCCTTCTCCTTCTCCTTCTCCTCCTCTTTTTCCTCCTCCTGCTCTGTGTTTATGTTTGCTTCAGGCAGTCCCTGAGCCTCAGGACAGAGCCACATCCCCAAGTCCAAGGGAGGATCTGACTGGTTCTGGGTAATCACAAGTCCCCTGCTAATGTTGGTTCAGAAGCCAGACCTGAGCCAATCAGTGCAGGTGAGAATTTCTGCCCTGGTGCTTGTTTAGGAAGGGCGTGTAACTTAGGAGTCCAGTGGGGGTAAATTTCAGGACTGTGTATTGGAATCTTGGGGTGCTGCCTTCTCTCTTCCCTGGGTGTCCTAGGCAGATAGTGTGGCAGCCCTTTCACTCCCAGAGAGAAGTTACTGTCAGACACAGCCAGAACACAAGGAGGATGTAAACAAGGGCTTTGCAAAGGAGCTGGAAATGGAGCCACTGATGAAGCTGACCCCAGACTCCCACACATACCTCTAGACTCTTCCTACCTATGACAAGTTACAGGGTCAGTTCCTTGAAGCCAAAATATTCTAACAAATACAAGTCAAAATAAAAAAGAAAATTTCAGGACTACTAATAAGTCAGGAGTTCTGTGCTCTGATCTCAGCAGTGGAATGTTCTGGAATGCACTTTCCCTCTTTGAGCCTTGGTGTTCTCTAAGCACCTTCCATTCCCAAGGACTCCTTTTTTTTTTTTCTTTTTTTTGGTAAAAATGAAAAATAGTTGGTGATGAATAAAGGCCCTATGGACTGTCTGAAAATAGGTTATGGAAAAGAAATTAGTAAAATTCATAGGATATTCAAGATAAACAAAAGAAAAGAGAAAAGAGAAAGGATTTAATCTCAGGGGTTAGTAGGCTGGACTATTTACAAAGCCTTCCTAGATTAAAAATAGAAGCTTCTGCTGTTCTGAGTGGGCACTATTTCCCAATGCCTAGGAGTGGAGAAGTTAAGACATGTCACTCTGGGAGCTGAGTGAACGTTGTCTGCAGAGGGGTTGCCAAGCAGCTGAGACACAGTGATGTTGAGCAACCTGGGTAGGAGCCGTGGGGACAAGTCAGGGCTGGGCAGACCTGGAGCAGGGACAGAAACTGCAGACAGCTCTAGCCCAGAAACACCTGCATGATAGCTTTACAGGGACCCTTCATTCTTGGCCC